TATAGTTTGCTTGTTGTTTAACATGTACATGCTTGAATTTCTTATTATTTCTGTTTGTGCAGACAGTGTCTCAGAGAAACAAACTGAGAGACAAAAGTCACATGACAGCAAAATGGAATGGTTTCATCAAAGGAGTAGGACTTGAGATAAACTGTAGGGATGGAAGGATTTGGAAAAAAATGCTTTTAATGTTCTGTGGTGGGTAGACCTGCATAAAGGGGACTTGAGCCTCATTGAATTTCAGCAAGGTAACCTACAGATAGGGAAGATTTAAACACACCCAGGGCTCTGCTGCCTACACAGTCAAATCACTGGTTCTCATGTAATTAAATTAATGACACTGTTCACATGCCCCTGTGCCTGATTCTGGCTAATGTTACCTTTTTATTTTGTTTATTTTCAAACTTAGCTTCTTATGTTTGGTCTTACTAAAATAATATTATCATTTAAATATCACCTTTGGCTTCTAGTTACATGAATTACTGAAACCCCAAGATATTGAGAACACAGGAGGTGGGCAAAGTAAAACCAGAGAGATACTGCTAGAAATCCAGGATGCTCCCTTCAGAGAAATGCTTATGAGTTCCACAGTCGGGGAGAAAAGGAGGAAAGTGAGCCCAGGTGTGACCCTATGCACCCGCTGTAGAGGAGCACTCCTTGTTGCTAATTAACAAGACCGATTCTATCTGACAAGGTTTTAACACCACCTAACACTGTTGACAATGCAGTTTATAAACCAGTTCCAGAAATTCACTTTATAACCATTTTCAAAGAACTATCAGTCCACTGTAGAAACATTCTATCAAACATTCTAGTACACATTTAAATCATTGAAGAACTCTACCCCCTAAGAGTTGACAAACTGTTTACAAAAAATGATGTTTCAAGTAGTGCCTATCTACTAAAATTTAATTATGAATTATTTTTTATTTGGGTATCACTTGAAAAAACTTTAGACATGAAACAAATGGATTTGTTTATATATTCTACTTATTTAAAATAAGGAACACTAATGAAAATATATGTGGATAATGTAATTATTATAGAATTAGCCCAGTCTTTTAAGATAATTTTCAATGGTTTTATAAAAATAGTTTCATAATATGCCATAATTCTTTCCAAAGACCACAATTAAAGGTCAACTGAAACTGTGTTCATGTACTATATTAACATGATTATAATGCAGGTTAACATCTGAAGTCTATGTGACTGAAATTGACTTAAATTTTACAATACAGTCATTCTTATGTTGTTATTAGAGGCCTGGTGCACGAATTTGTGCACCAGTGGGGTCCCTCGGCCTGGCCTGCGGGAATCGGGCTGAAACCAGCTCTCCGACATCCCCTGAGGGGTCCCAGATTGCAAGAGGGAGGTTCTCAGGTGACACACCCCGGAATTAGGTTCCCTCCTCTTTGGTTCTGGGTGTGATACCCGAGAACCGCAGCTGCCAAGTCACCGCAGCTTGGCAGCTCCTGCATTGAGCATCTGCCCCCTGGTGGTCATTGTGTGTCATAGCTACTGGTCGGAGTGTCTGCCCCCTGGTGGACACTGAGCATCATAGATACTGGTTGGATGGTCACTTAGGCTTTTATTTATATACATAAGAACACACTTGGGCAAGTTAGTGGGCTCAGTTCAAGTACACAACACCTCAACATTATTATTAGAAAGAGTAGCATATACATTGGTCAATTCACAATTTTAACCCTGTGATTACTCAAGATTTCCTAGCCAAACAAAATAAGAAAGCAATGTTTAGATAACTAATACATCTTATTATTGTGAAAAAGGCAGATTTCCTGATGTCATATGATGTATGGTTAAATAGATTTAAAATAACATTTTTCTTTTTTCAAATTAAAAATAAGGAAATCAGTGATTCTAAAAGTATTTCTATGACCGATGTATGTCTAAGGCAGAAGCTAAATAAACATACCTCGTATTCATTGGAAACTATCAAGTCTTATTTTGCAAGGTCCCATTTGAGACTTTAAAAATAGACTATTAAAACAAGAATTTACTAAAATAGAAAACTGTTACCTTATCTTACTGAAAAATTTTCATAGGTTATCAATAATCTATGTATATCTGCTTTTGCAGATATACATATTCAATATTAACTATGATATTATAACAAAAACTCTTAGCCTAGTTGTAAAGAATAGGGGCTATATCTGCACATCATATTGGCTGTATAATCTGGGACAATAAGTTATTTAGCCCATTTGTGAATCAGTTTCGCTGTCAACTGAGGATCACCAGTGTCTCCTCTCCTAAAGCTCTTTAGGGGACATTAAATGAGCTAGGGCCCTTCCCTAACTAAGTGGTACTTGGCATAGCTGTACCTGAGGGCATCCTATATAATAAAAGCCTAATATGCGAAGTATCAGACCGTTCATTTGACCGGTCACTATGATACACACTGACCACCAGGGGGTAGATGCTCCGACTGGTAGGTTAGCTTGCTGCTGGGGTCTGGCTGATCAGGACTGGGCGAGACAGCCCCAATAGGGATTGGACGAGATGGGCCAGACACACCCGGGAGCCCTCCTGTAGTCCCTCCCCAGCTCTGATTGGCTCCAATCGGGACTGGGCCAAACACGCCCTGGAGCCCTCCTGTGGTCCCTCCCCTGCTGGCCCATCTCCTGTGGTCCCTTCCCTAGCCTCTAAAATATTTCTTCTAATTAATTTCCTTTCAATGTGCACAAATCCATGCACAGGGCCTCTAGTATGATCATAATTAGAACACTCTAGGCTCAATGAGATGCATGGTGCCATGACCATCCTTGAATACTTACAAAGTTACATTTGGATTTTAACTTGTAAAATTTGCTCTTAATGGAAAAGAAAAAGTCTAGATTTTGAAATATTACAATTTATATCTAGAGCAAAGTTTCAAGGGGAAAAAAGCCCTTATTTATAGTGTACACGGATGAATACCTATGTAACAGGGAAGTGGATTTATAGTTTTTCAAAAGTAGAGATTTTTAAAAATTTCATAATTTTAAGGGAACCTCATAGTAAACCAAATGATTGGTTCTTATTTCAGTCCATTTAAAGCTGTAGCCTGTTCCCTGAAAGAGAGAGCAGAACAAGCATAAAAGATTTTATAAGGTCAGAATTACCTGAGGACTTTGAGGGTTAACAGAGACTATGGAAATATTCAAATCCAACTCTTTTGTTTCATATGAATAAACTGAAACTCAAAGAAGTTTAAGTATCTTATTTCAAGGCTCCCAAGGTAGTTTGTGCAAGAGCCACAAATACTTCTAAGGAACCAATTCCCCTACTCTGTCCCAGGTGAGTAGAGGACACAGCCCACAAGTAAGCAAAATGGGGTGGTGATAGTCAGTAAGGTGATAGCAAATGAAGAAAGTCCAATGACGGCATCCCCAGACATCCTAACATTCACTACGACAAAGGCTTTTCTAGCACTAAGAGAGAAATGTAGTACTTCAGGGTGTAGAATGCACAATACTGGGAGTGGGGAAAACTACTCCCAAGAGCTGACCTACACAGAAAGCCTTGCAGTTTACAGGAAAGGACCCCACTTTCATCACATTGACTTGGACTCCATTAGATTATTGGTCACCACTTAGTACAGTCAAAGCTTAGAGGTTTTCATAGGCCTACGCCTGAATTCTTCAAAATACTACCTTTTTGTTTGGCATTCCTTTGTAATATGGGGAGATTTTTAAAGGGAAGAGTTTAAGTGAAAAGTAGACATACAAATAATTTTATTTTTACCCTAATTTAATACTTCTATTGACACTCAAGTTAATAGGAGACCACTATTCTTAGTGAGGGGATATGAAACTATAAATGTCTTGCTATATATTTTATGCTAATAATTCCACTCTATAAATTTTGAGATGGTATTCTATTTCCATATTTAGGACTGGAGAAGACATTTGCCTCATATTCCACAACTTTGGTTCTATGACCAGAGAATTACCTCAGAAATTATCCGTCATAGGGAAAAAGTAGCACATTTATACTGTTTACCATATCTAAATACTGCAAAGTAATTCTAACTTCTTTAAGAAATCTAATATTTAACAGTTGTAACTAGAAAGAAGGAATTTATATAACCTTGGAAACCATTAAAATTTGGTATGTTTGCAATTGAGAAATAAAGCCACATCTGCACACCAATCCAGAGTTCTCATCTACTTTCAGGCAGAAAAAGGTTTGTGTTCAACTCTGCCCCTGGCTACAACTGCTGGCCAAGTGCACAGTAAGAATGGTAATGCACATAATACACCATAAACATTCAAGAGCAAGGTCAGAAGCAAAATTTAAAACGTGCACCAAGACATACAACAGCGACCAGATTGTGTCATTTGACAATATTTTCCAATGGTGAACAGTTATCACCAATTTGGAAAAGAAATGTTCCATAAGACAGTATCAGATTCCTGAGTGAGCCAGAATTTCATTTTATTTTTATCTCAAATATCATATCAAAATAAAGTTTTATATATTTTTGAGACCAAAGGCTTTAAAATCCAATTTTCCACCCTGGCCGGTTCGGCTCAATGGTTAAAGCATCTCAGGTTCAATTCCCAGTCAAGGGCACATACCTCAGTTGCAGGTTCTATCCCCAGCCCGTTGGGGGCACCTACAGGAGGCAATCAATCCATGTGTCTCTCCTACCTTGCATGTTCCTCTCTCTCTCTCTCTCTCTCTCTCCCCCCCCTCCCCCCCACTACTTCCAGTCTCTCTAAAAATCAATGGGAAAAAAATCTCTGTGGTGAAAAATAAAAAACAAAAAATAAAATCCAGTTTTCCATATTTAAGTTCATTATATTCTCTCAGTAGGACTTATAGGAAAAAAAAACTATACACATTTAATAAGATTCCACATGTTTTCTATTTAATAATTTCTTTATTTGTACTGGTCTTTAGTAGTCATCTTCATATCTGCAATTTTATTTCATCAACAATCATCTCAGACACACCTTCTAACAAGACTGACTTAAAATAGTACGACAGGAAGCTATGCCTTCAGGAGCATGTTTATTGTGTTTGAGATGATACATCAGGTGCTCTCTGAGCTACAAAGGGTAAAAGGAAATCCTCTCATTACAAACTGACAAAGGTAAAAGGTAAAACATTTTTCACAACAGCATTAACCACATACTCAGAAATAGATCTGGGTTTAATACAAATGACATAATTCCTAGTCATCTACAGCTACTTTTATAACTTCATACAGATAATGAATTAGGCTAAAATGCACTATAATATTTGGTAGACTTCAGGACCAGTATCCTTAGTACATCACAAAATACATTTTGATATCCCAAAGAAGCAAGACTTGCAAGTAGGCATTTTAAACATAACTAATCTACAGCTACAAAGTTCTACCCTTAATAGCATTTACCTTTTTGGGAGTCTCCCAGTCTCCAAAGGATAAAAGCAGAGAGTAGAATCAGTATAACATATACACAGAAGTCCGTATTGTAAAGGCTATAAAGATTTGCAGCACAGTGAGAAGATGCCTTCTGCGCCTTCACACTGCATACAAATTACGTGAATTATGTTGCGTATCTCTTGGTCCACTGTCTGGCTATCCTGTCATGTTCTGCTCTGTTGGTCAAATACTGAGTGGCTATGCTTCCAACCAGAGGATCCGCTGGAAAAGTGAGAAAAAGAATAAAAAATATTAGATATCTAAAAGGTACAGTTTTAACATTCTATTAAACTGAAATGCTGATTTTTAGCAGCATCTTAATATTAATATTCAATTTAGCTAAAGGCCCTGTAACTAAGAAATGAGTGTTAATAAGTATGATTTTTATAAAAGGGGTATACTTTCAATATACAAAAACTGTTTTTTACTCTTGGCATTTTATTAAATAATCAAAGTGTGCTGCTCTGGCCGGTGTGTTCGGTGGTTAGTGTCAGCCTGCACATGGAAGGGTCCCAGGTTGGATTCCCAGTCAAAGGCACATACCTGGGTTGCAGGTTCATCCTCAGCCCTGGTCAGGGTGCATGTGGGAGGCAATCAATCAATCAATGTGTCTCTTTCACATCGATGTGTGTGTTTCTTTCTCTTCTCTTCTCTTCTCTTCTCTTCTCTTCTCTCTCTCTCTCTCTCTCTCTCTCTCTCTCTCTCTCTTCCCCCCTCCCTCCCTCCCTTCCTCCCTCCCTCCCTCTCTGCTCTCTCTAAAAATCAATGGGAAAAATAGCCCTGGGTGAGGATTAATAATGCAATACTATTCAGAATAAAATGTTTCCTTCATTCTACATAATAATATGACCCACATATCTCTTATCTCCAATTGAAAACTTACCATTCTGTTTTACATAGAATTCTGAACTGGAAATTGAATCTGAGATAGAAACCTCCTTTACTCAGTTTTTTCCCCTGGCAAGTGATTGTTACCTGTTTACAGCATTTCTACCCAGAGATATACATGTGTACAAGCATGTAGAATATATTGTTATGCATATGTTTTTTTTTCCCCCAATGTCTTACTTTTTTACTTAATATATCTTAGAAAGCTTTCCCTATCAGGTCATAAAGAGCTGTCTCATTCTTTTTAATAGGTAGATCCTCTATTAATGGACATTCAGGTGGTTTCCAGTCTTTTGCTGTAATAAATGATGTTATAATTATCTATCTATCTATCTATCTATCTATCTATCTATCTATCGTATATGTATAACTGTTGGGCAAAAGATAATAGTAGTAGATGATTAGTCAAATGTTTAGAAAAAGTAAGTCAACTTCTTTTAAAAACTGACGCCTCAGTAAGATAACATACAAAATCCTTGGCTTAAACATTTTTTTCAATTCAGTACCTCAGTTAAAGATCACATGTGGCAGTTATGCATTTCTTTTAAATGTTATAAATTATGTACTAATGACTTTAACCTCTAAGTTTATATAATCACAATCTAGTCCAACAATCTCATCAGCTATAGTTTTTTAATATTCTTCACTCTTATTACATCTAATACAACAAACTAAAATCCAAAAAGGAATAGAAAACAAGAAGTTCTTCATTACTAAGTGGTTGCTTTAATGCACATGGAGGCATAGAAGAAAAGGAGGCACTGGAGTTAGAGACACCACTTTACTGCTGTCAAAGTGGTCTGTACAGGTACACACCTCAGAAAACAGAGTCCATCAATGAGAAGGAGAAAATAAGTATAGGCTAGTAGTCCATTAACAAACCACAGGAAGCTATTGTGAAACTTTTGGTCTATTCTAATTGAAATGGCATTGATAATTTCCTTGCAAAATGTTTTACACTGATCTTTCCACCAATAGTACTAACTTTCCAAATCTACATTTAAGCTACCAGGAAAATGCACTGGTGTCCACAACCTCATTGTATGTGGTAATAAAGATGTGCTTACCAGGGTTGCAGTCTGTCAAAAGAGAACAAATCGACAGCAAAACCTTTGAAATAGTCAAAGCGGGACTCCAGTTGTCTTTAAGGATGTCCAGGCAGATGACTCCCTGACTGTTGATGTTGCAGTGATAGATCCTGGTGCGGAAAGTAACCTAAAGGTAGTCACATTAAAAACAGGAAGAAAATGAAATGCTTTCTTACCAACTAAGACTCTCACCAGCAAAAATGAAGAGTAACGTATCATATGATACTAAATAACAAATAATTTAACTGAAGAGCTAATGGAATACTGGGTTTAAGTGCTAACAAAATCAAATGGTTTTATTCAATTTGGTTAAAAAAATGCTCTGGTTTTTACCCAGTATAGCAAGAACTATATTGATTTTCAACCAAAGTGAGTAGCTGATTTGATTAGTTTAATCAAAATGAATGATACAGCAATTCTATGTTTGTATGTATGTGTGTGCACACCAAACACACAAGCATGAGTGCACATAATACCTGTTTAAAGACAGAAGGGAAAACAAAAATGTGTTGATGCCAAAGGTAAGAGGAACTGGTAAAGAATTTTTCAAGCATAAAGTGAAAAGTTATATTAGTTTGTTAGTAGAAAATATCAGTATCAACTCAGCTAATTTCTTGCCATGTGTCAGAAAATACTGAAGAATTTAGAGGAAGATCGGTTACATCACCAACCTATTTCCTACCCTTTTATTTCCACAACTGGCTCACTGTCTTTTTAGATAATTACGTTAAATAAAACAAGCAAGGTCTTAAGCTACTGAATAAAGAAAGTGTATCTCCAGATGTATAAAAAAAGAGGATAAATCATAGGAACAAATACTGTCAAGTTTCAAAACAATCCCAAACACTGAGTAGTTAGAGAAGAAAAAAAAAAGGACAGTTTTTGATCCCTTAGAACTAGCAGTGTGCTGTGATATCCCAAGTGGAGTGTGGGAAGAAAATATTACAGTCCTCAAACGTGTATTTCTGATAAGGATACAAAAATAAAGACAAAATTTAAAGGTAACAGGGAAGAAACTACTGGTCTTGCAGGGGGGTGAAGGGGACCATGCACCTCTAGAATTGCTCTGATTTAGTTACACAGAGCTCTTAAAATGTGGCTAGTTGAATTGAAAAGGGATAAGAATGTAAATTACACACCACATTTCAAAGACTCAATACCAAAAAGAGATTGTAAAATTCCCTCTTATATTGGTTACATGCTTGACAATATTTTGGATATACTGGGTTACATAAAATATATTATTAAAATTAACTCAGTTTCTATTCTTTTAATGTAGCTACTAGAAAATTTAAAATTACATGTGTAGTTTGCATTATATTTATATTAGACAGTTCTACTATATAATACAGGAATAACACATGTTCAGATTATTGACAGCTGACTCTATGTGTGGTTTACAAACACAATACAATTAATATTTTGAATTTGTTTAGCTATTAACAGAGTGAACAAAAGAATTAAATTATTATTCTTCAAGAAGCTCAACACCTTCTCTGAACTTCAAAAAGAATCAGTATTGTAGAGAAATAATTGCACCTAACACTAAGATAACAGAAGTCTTATTTCTTTTTCACTTGTCCACCTAGAGATCGGAATGCTTCATAATACTGTATATGATACCTTAGGCAAAAGGAATTAATCAACATTAAAGGGTTAGAAAATTAAAATGAGACCAGCAAAAATATTCACATGCTAACTTAATTAAAAAAAAACGTATTAACCAAAAACAATTATGATAAATCACATATAGGAAACTGCAGTTTGAAACCTTTATTTCAGTCAATTTCTATTTTCCATTAAAGATACTAAGAAGTCTTTTTCTTCAACAGATTTCCACTCACGTACAAAGATTATTTTGAAAAATATAAATCTTGCATATTTTTTCTGCTAGTTTTCTATCATGTTAAAACCACTTTTCCAATATGCAAAATGAGGCATGTAAAAATAAGTATCACTATACAGTCATGAGCTGTTTTGCTAAAGTTTTATTTGTTTTCTATAATACAGAAAATCACTGAATGCAATTGAACAGTTGGTGACATGCTGCCCTTTAACATGTCATTTGAATATGAATAAAATTTGTGTTATTATTAACAGGAGGGTCTTATGCCTTTACTTGACTGATCTAGCAAGACATACTCTATATAACTGAGAGCATTAAAGCAATCATTTAAAGATCTTAAATTCTGATGGGACCAAAGAAAAAAGTACTCAAAAAACTGATAGCCACATTTGAGAGCCAATACCTCTAGGGCAGGGGTCCTCAAACTTTTTAAACAGGGGGCCAGTTCACTGTCCCTCAGACCGTTGGAGGGCCGGACTATAGTTTAAAAAAAAACTATGAACAAATTCCTATGCACACTGCACATATCTTATTTTGAAGTAAAAAAACAAAACGGGAACAAATACAATATTTGTATTTGCATGTGGCCCGCAGGCTGTAGTTTGAGGACCCCTGCTCTAGGGGCTAGGAAACCTTGGTATCTGCAATTTAAGGTAAATAGCACTAGGAGGAAATATTCTTACCTTATTAGGTAATATACTTTCTGGGTTTTATCTCTTTCTTTTCTTTTCCAGGCATTAAACTGCTACATATATTTTACACAGCTTTGGGAACAAAGTGAACTATGTTGAAAAGGAAAATGTTTTATCACAGTTAAGGGCTTGATAGCACAGGTTTCCCTAGCATGTCAGAAATCTCTGAAATGAAATAATTATGCTCAGACTTAATATTGGTGGTTTTTACCGGCTGGCCTGACCATTTTATTTTATTTTATAAGAGAAGTCAGAGGAGAAATCTATTTAAGTAACGGTTATGTTTAAAACTTGACAAATAATTGCCAATCGTTACAAGGCACAATTCAACCCTTCTCTGTTATCATCTAATTCATATTCAGAGACAACAAGGAGGCATTAAGTCACCCAGACACACTCATTCCCATTACTACATGCTACCAACAGAGGGCACAACACACGTTTACTAAATAGTATTAGTTTCCCTCTTCTTTGTCAAGGTTTTCTAGATTTTGCTCATCTATAAAGATAAGGTATTTAGCACAAAATTCAAGTTAGTTAACCCTAATTTCTAGAAGCTGTTAAACAGGTTTACTTTTGAATCCCAGTATGTTTCTAAGGAAGGTTCATAGGATATTTTCCCTCATATCAAAAATCCATCTGCTTTTCTGATGTGCACATGGTAAACTTTTATTTATAGTTAACAAACCCGAGAAAACCAAGATGGCGGCTTAGGTAAACACCGGAAATTGCTGCCTCACACAACCACTTCAAAAATACAACTAAAAGACAAAACGGACATCATCCAGAACCACAGGAAGGCCGGCTGAGTGGAAATTCTACAACTAGAAGGAAAGAGAAAAGCACACTGAGACTCAGAGGAGGTGCGGAAGTAAAGTGCAGAGGTACGGAGGCGCATGGACAGGGCTGGAAACTGAGGACACCGTTGTCTTTTTCTATCAGGAGGGAGTATCAAGCTCCCGACTGCTCTGAACTCCAGTTCCGGGCGAGTCTCTGGGGACATATGGGGAGAAACTGGACTGTCTGGCTTCGGTCGGAACTCGAGGGTGGCTTTCTCTCAGAGGTGCTTGCAGCGATTACCGGGACACTGAGACCCAGGACCTCTTAGGGCAGGACTGAGGATCAGCCATAGCTGTTTGCTCTGCCCTGTTGATTCCCTGAGACCCTGCCCCACCCAAGCTGAGCACAGAGGCTTTTGCATATGAATGGCCTGGCCCTTTGCAATCTAAAATTACCTAACAAACTGCAGCTGGGTCAGAGAGACCCAGAACTTCCAAAAGAAGGCCCAAGGCCCCACAGCAGCTTGCGTTGCTTCACAGCTGGGCCTCATCTGGGCACCTCCAAACCACAAACAAAGAAGAGGAATCTGTAGATCTCTCCATAGCCCCTGCTGGGTAGCCTCAGGCAGAGGCTAAATTAGCACCTCCCTAGAGATCCAAGAGCCAGTGTACCCAGTGGTCAGAGTGGAACCATCCAGATTACAACTCCTCAGATCCATAAGGGACACATTCAGGGGACAGACTCAGTGAGCACCAAAGCCCCACTGAAGCAAGTCTTGCCCCATAAGGGTGTCTCCAGCACAGTTCTCCCACTGTAGACACAGCTGATTCTCACAGCCAATTGGCCTGGAGGTCAATTCCTCCCAGTGATACCTACAACAATCAAGGCTTAACCACAACAAGACTATAGTTAACAAACCCTCTCTCTGCTGATTACAGTTATTTGTAAAAGGCAGAAATCAATTACTTTCACAGTTATATCTTAGTACATGAAAGTTTCCATTATTACTCCATTAAAAAAATGAAGTTAAAATGATTAATACACATTTAGACTCTGGAATAAACTGACTTTAGAGAAGAAGGATAAATATTAAAGAATGTACCTCTAGGTTCTTACCTTTGGTGGCTTAAATGGATAATCGGATGAAAATGTGATATCCAGAAAAAACACACCACCTTCATATACAGAACCTGGTGGACCAAGTATAGTCGATCTCCATTCATAAATATTATCTCCTTTAGGCCCAGCACTATTTAAAAGAAATTAAAAATCAATGTGTATATCTGTAAGCAATGAATGTTAAAAACTTTTACCAATTAAAAAAAAAAGCTTATACCAATTAAATATTAAAGGTAAATTAGCAACTTAGAGTAATAAGAGATAAATTCCAATGAGTGCAAGCATGTGTATAAACTTATTTGGAAATACTTCAAATCTACGGAAAAACTGCAACAAAGAACATCATATTACTTTACCCAGATCTCTTTCTGTTAGCATTCTGCCCCATGTGCTTCATCACACCCTTCTTCTCTATGCATATGTACATGCATATGTATACATACACCCACATATACACAAAGTGCTTTTTTATGAGCCATTTCCCCATAAATACTTCGGCATGCATTTTCTAAAATAATCTCCAATACAATCACAATACAGCTATAATTCAGTAAATATATTATCAATACAATACTTCAACCTATAATCTGCAAAGTAATGTTGTCAACTGACCCAACAATGCCTTTTAAACAAAAAACAAACTTCTAATTTTTCTCCAGATATGGGATCCAGTCTTGGGATCATCTACATATATCCTGCACCTTTAGTCTTCTTTAATATAGAGCCTTTCTTTGACTTGCATAACATTAACATTTTTGAAAACTACAGTTCTTTTTTTAATAAAATGTGCATCGTTTTGAACTTGTCTGATGTTTCCTTAGGATTAGATGCAGGTGGTGCACTCCTGGACAGGATAGTACACAAGTGATGTGTTCTTTTCAGGATATCACATCCAGAGGCATACGGTATTCTCCTGTCCCCAATTGGTGATGCTAATTTTCATTACCAGATCAAGTGCTGTCCAATTTTCCTACTGTTTACTTAATGCCTTTTCCCTATAACCAAGAGGCAACCTTTGGACAGACACTTTAAAACCATGCAAATATCCTGCTGTTCATCAACATTTGTCCCCTAGATTTAAGATCCACTTGTGAGCCCTGGCCCATGTGTGGCTCAGTGGTTGGGCGTTGTCCAGCGGAGGGAAGCCAGTTAGATTCCTGGTCAGGGCACATGCCTGGGATTGAGGGCTCCATCCCCAGTTGGGGATGGGGTGCGGGGGGGGGGGGGGGAGTAGCAGGAGACAATCTATTGATGTTTCTCTCTTGCATCGATGTTTCTCTCCCTCTTCCTTCCACTGTCTCTAAAAATCAATTAATTTATTTTTTTAAAGATCCACTTGTGAGTCTTGGCTAAACTGAATTACTATGATTGTGATAAAATTGTGACTTTCCAAATCCAGCATTTCCTCCATATTTATCAGCTGGCTCTTGAGTCCTTTATTCTCCCATTTGTATGAATATATACCAGGTGTACTGGTTAATAATGGCGGATTTTGTAATCAAAGAAAACACGATAATTTCAAGAGAAACATCAAAAATGCTTTATTCAAAGTAATGTCCATCGCTAGCTACACATTTTCCCCTTCTTTCAGGTAATTTGTGGATACCCTCCCAATAGAACTTTTCTTGTTTTGAGGCAAACCATTCAGAGACCCAATTTTCCACTTCTTTGCACGTTTTGAAGTGCTGCTCAGAAAGTGCATGTGCCATTGATCAGAACAAGTGGTAATCTGAAGGAGCAAGGTCTGGTGAATACAGCGGGTGGGTTAATACTTCCCAGGCAAGATCTTTTAACATGTCTTTAACTGGTTTTGAAGTGTGTGATGGTGCGTCATCATGAAGCAAAATTACTTTGCCGTATCTTCTGGCCCATTCTGGTTGTTTTACGATCAAAGTGTGGTTCAAATTGATTATTTGTTCTCCGTAGTGATCAGTATTAATGGTTTCACCTGGTTTTAGAAGCTCATAATACACCACACCTTCCTGATCCCACCAAACGCAGAGCATTGTCTTCTTTCCGAAGCAATTTGGCCTTGCAGTCGATGTTGGTGGTTGACCTGGATCAACCAATGATTTTGTGCATTTGGGATTCTCAAAATAAATCCAGTTTTCATCACCAGTCACAATTTGATGCAAAAAAGACTTTCTTTTGTGCCGTTGAAGCAATATTTTATTGATGACTTTTCGATTTTCCATTTGTCTTTCGTTCAGTTGATGTGGCCCCACTTTCCTTCCTTTAAAATCTTTCCCATTGCTTGTAAACGATCAGAAATTGTTTGCTAAGCAACGTTTAATCTTTCTGCGAGTTGTTTTTGAGTTTGACATGCATCTTCATTCAATAATGCTTGTAATTGTTGGTCTTCAAACTTTTTCGGTTGACCTGGACGATCTTTGTCTTTCACATTGAAATCATCACTTTTAAAGCGTTTAAACCAGTGTTCACAAGTATCTTGAGATGGAGCATGTTCACCATAAGCTTCCCGAAGTATACAATAACTTTTAGCAGCACTTTTCTTCAAAATAAAGTAATGAATTAAAACTTCCCGCATATCTCTGTTTTCAGCACGAAATTTGACATTTTTAAGCATAAAAATATCTATGATGTTAACACCTTCAGCAAATTTGACATATGAAGTTTTGAAGCTTGCTGTCAATACAACAAAATAGCATACATATCAAATCGCATATATATCAACATATGTGTAACTCCATCTATTGAAAAAAATCCGCATATTAACCAGTACACCTGGTATATTACTGGTGAGGCTACGTGAATTCCTATTTTTTTCCTAATGATCTCTAGTTCATTATAGCTTTTAATTATTTTGATACTCAAATTATCCCAGATTTGGCCAGTGGGAGCCTCTTCAAATGGCCATCTCCTGGTGATAGGCCACCATTGGTTTCACTGAGCACTTCCTTACTTTCTGGCATACCAACATGTTCTAGGCTCCCAGCCTTGGAATCAACCATTTCTTCAAGGAGCCCTCCTGGTTCCTTTTAGTGGGAAGGTTTTAGAAACCAAGGTTTGAGTGCTAGGCACTACTAAAGTCCAGATACACTGTACTGTGCTCAGTTTCATTTATAAAATACAAATGTGAGAAGTAATTCAAACAAAATCTAAATTCACAATTATTTGTCAGTAAGGCCCACCCAATAGTTTTCAAAACTCTTTTCAATTTTACAGCTTCCATTTTTCTCTAACCTTCACATCATAAATTACCTTGATTTTCTAAGCTAATGTATTATATAAAGCTTTTTTTCTTTTAAAGTGGCCATCAGTTTAGAAATGATCTGCATGTTTTACTTAAAATAAGTGCAAACCAGCACTGATAACCCAACCACATTAATTACAATATACCGTTCAGTATAATTAAAAATGATTTAACTAGTATATCTTATTAATTCTGTAAAACATAAACTTATGAACTGTGAAGACCAGGAAAGTAATACTATCAATAATCAAATATGTGCTCTGAAAAATAGTTCATACAGAAAGAGTATAGAAAACTTGATGGTATAATCAAAATATATTTACAGGATGCTTCAAAAACTTATCTTTAAAGAAGCTATATATGACAAATAAAATCTTATGATTTTGGCCTATTTAGGAAAAATATACTTTTAAAAATACTACTACTTTGTAAGTTTTAAGTATCACAGCAAGTGGAACTAATTACAGTAATAGCTGGTTGTTCTGTCATCATTTGAGAATCAGTATATTCCCTGAGTGAATTTTCATTGTAACTAAAGACATACAAAATACGGTATCAATTTTGTGGTACATATAGATAATAGAACACTACTCCAAACAAATGAGCTATCAAACCATGAAAAAAAAAGGAAACTTAATGCATATTACTAAGTGGAAGAAGCCAATCTAAAAAAGGCTATTCATTTTGTCTGATTCCAACTACATCACATGGTGAAAAAGGCAAAACTATGGAGTCAGAAAAATAAAAAAATCAGTGGTTGCTAGGGTTTAGTGGGGAGGAGGGAACACAGAGGATCTTTAGGACAGTGTAACTATAGTCTGTATGGCACTACAGTAATTAATGAAGGTCATTATACATTTGTCAAAACCCATAGAATGTACAACAGCAAGAGTCACCCCAATGTAGACCAGAGACTCTGAGTGCCAATATTGTGTCAAATGTAGGTGCATCGATTATCACTACTGTGGGACATTGGTAGTGGGGAGGCGGTGCATGCAGGGTCAGCAGGTTCATGGGAACTCTTTATACTTTCTGCTCAATTTTGCTGTGAACCTAAAACTACTCTAAAAGATAAAGTGTACTAATTAGAAAAAATACAAATAAAGTTAGAAGAAGTAAATGTTTCTCTATTAAAGCAAAAAGTAATAAATGTTTCTTAAACATTGGTTAATAAAAACAGATTCCAACTTATAAAGGGATGTGTGCAAAAATTGTTTTAAAATAAGGTACTCTGGAACTTGGAACAACACTTTAAACACAGTAATGGTTTCAATGCTGGCTCACAGAAAGTCCATTTAAACATTTCCCCTATAACTTTAAATGAGCTACTGTGTATTTGCAGATTCATGACTTGTTTCTTACTAATGGAGACATCAAGAATACCTGTCCTTCAAGCCAAATTGCTAATTCAAACACCCATCACCCTTTCTCCTCCTAGTCCCCACTGCGCGCTCTTAGCTGAAGCTTAGTGAGTTTTACCTTTCTTGGAACTCAGGACGGAGGAAAGGTAATCTTAGTTATCAATTAGTTGTTTGCTTCAATGGGTTGTCAATGGTGGTTGGGCTTTGGAATATTCCTGGCATACAGAACAAATTTAATTACACTAAGCACCACAGATAAATGGACATATGTGAACAACGACTGAAAACCTAAGCAACCTTTGTATTGAGAAAATGTGTCCCAACAATAACAGCTGCAGGAACAACAACAACCACTTGCATTGATTAAGCACTTGTATGTTGCCAGAAGTCATTATGTTAAATGCCATATATCTATCTCATTTAATCCTCACAGTAATGCTATGAGATAGATAACATAACTACCTCAGTTTCACAGATGAGACAGCCAAGCCTCACAGCAGTTAAGTAGCTTCCTTTAAAGTCTCATGGCTAACACACAGGCAGACAGTGGATGTC